AAATCGCGCCGGCCCGTATACTGTAGCTGTGGCAGGCTAGATCATCGCTACTGTCTCGTTTTAATTGATCGTGAAACTGAACACTCCGCATTCTTCCGACAGCCGATCCATAAAACACTGGCCTACCTTGAAACACCGGTTTCCGTACGAAGTTAAGTAACATCGAGCCTGGTAAGTACCTAGATGGGTGACCGTTTCAGAATGCAAGGGTCCGCAATGGTTCAGAAATTTTAATCGGAGTGCCGAGTTCCAATTCCCGTTGGGTTTGCTATATTCACTTTCGTTCAAATATCATTGGGAAAGGTATGAATACAGCTATTCTCCCCATCTGCTATGGGTTAATTAATAAGACTTGTTTCACTAAATCATTATTATTTAAAAAAAAATTCTTACACTCTAAAATATTTTTTTATTTTAAATAACCTGCAAAGGGTTAAAAAAAAAAAAGAATGAAAAACGTAGAAAATGAACCAATAATTAAAAAAAAATAACGTTAAAATACTACAATTTTTATATGCAGTCATCTGTATACAAGAGATCGCGAACAAAAATCTTTAGAAATTTGGTTTGGGCATCGAAACGGCGTATATTGAAGTTTTTCGGAGCTCCTCTACCAGATGTAGGTTACCTTTTCGCAGACTCCGAAAGCATCAAGGAACGTAATAGGGAAGAAAAAAGAACAGGTTTTCCCTGTTTTACGCCATTTTGAACCTTGAAAATTTCGTAAATACAGCACTAACATTAACACAATCTATATCATCAGGGAAAGAGCTGAGCAGTTTAACAAAGTGATCAGGGCATCGCAAGGTTCCTAGAATCTTTCAAAGTGCCTCCCTCTCTGTTAAATGTAAAACACCTTCGTTAATTCTATTTTTAATCGAGTTCACGCCAAGCAAGGCAGTAAAGCCACTAAGACACAAGGGGTTACCGAGTGTGGAAAAATCAGAAAACAGAAACATTACTAACGAGCGAGAACAAAAAGAGTAATCAGGAGGACAATAGACAGCAATTGACATTGGATTTAAATTTTTACAGATTAAAGTTGGTTGGAAATCATCGAGTCGGAAGGGAGTTCCACAAGCAAGAAGTGCGTGAAAAGGAACTGTTAGCATAGAAGTTACGGTTGCGCCAGTCTCGTACTGCGCTTAAATTCAAAAAGTCTAGCAACCATATCGAAGAGGTCGAACAATTACCATGAAAGGGGGGAGGTAGGGGGAAAGTGACTGAAGCCGAGACGCCAGGTCAGGATCAATAATATTGTTGATTCGAAAGCCATATTGCTTATGAAAAAACTCCTGCGATCAGCGATACTTAACCAATTCAGCATTAATTAGGGCCTCTAGGAGTTTCCCAAAAAGAGGAAGAAGGCTAATAGGTCCATAGTTCGAAGCGTCGGACAATTCACCCGAGTTCTTAAAAACTGGAACAAAGGATAATGACTTCCAGCAGGCAGGAAAGGAAGAGGCGGCGAGATATTTATTATACAGTTTAGAGAGCCAGTTCTGGAGCACACTTCTTAATGACTATTACAAGGATACCATATATATATATATATATATATATATATATATAAAGAAATAATCATACATAGAATCAATCAGCAACATTAATGCGATTATTGGCGAACTCACTTCGCTAGTAGAACATAATGTATGCATTAAAATACTGTTAATCCATTGAATGATGTGATCCTCATTTATAAAGCTGTTATCAGATGTTTCTAGTGTATATTTTTTAAGTTAAGCAAGTACTTTCGAAGATCCCTATCTCCATCATCAGGCTGTAATTTTTTTCCTTCAAAGTTAAAACTTGAAGACGAAATAATTGTTTGTAGACCGAAAGATGTTTTTTAAGAATGTGCTATTTATTGACGGTTGTACAATCTCGGAACGTGCGAGTCGCAAAGCTAAAGTTCAAAATTTCAAGTGAGAATTTTTATATGAATTTTGTAATATGGTAAATCCACGAATTCTTTTTTTTTACAAGTATTACATTCAATGCCTTGAAAACCAAAACTAATTACATTCCATCATTGCTTATCGGACCCTGAACTATCATCAATCATTATGGATGGACATTCCCTCAGTATATGGGTGCAGCTCCAAAACTCTAGACGACCAGAGAGTGGGAGTTGCTCTTAACTCTGATATAGCTCTAACAGGAGCTAAAAACTTTAATTTCAATTATAGAAGTAAATTAAAGTCCTTAGTTCTGTTTCATTTTCAAGCGAATTTTGGAATAACTTATTTTGAAATTTACTGAGTTTTATAAGCACATACATTCATAATATTAGTTTCTAAGGATATGGGGAAAGCCAATCATTTTAACAAGGGGCGGTAGAGTATTCTTTTTCACTGACAACTATTGTATCAACATATTAGTTACTTTCGAAAAGAGGTTATGTTAAGGTAGGGTAGGGGTGCCATTTTCAACGAATGATGACATCCGTTCAACGCATGTCGTCTGGTCTTTTTCAACGATAAAAAGTTTCTCGGTACTTTTGTTTCGTCGTTACATTTGTACTTGTTGTTTGTATATGAATACTTCGGATTGAACTACAATTTTAAAATATTATTCTTAATTTTAACTACTAATAGACTATACATCTTTTAAAACAAATAAATGTAATAGAATTACTTAAATTATTTAAAAATTATTATTAAATATCAAATATAAATATGTATATTTCATTTATCTGTTTTTGTTTTTTTTATAATTAAACATATATATATCTTACTTATTATAAAATGCAGATTGTGTGTGTCTGTACGTTTATATATTGGATAGGATTTCCTAGATTTTTCAACTGATTTCAACAAAACTTCACAGGACAGCGTAAAATTACCTTGCGGTGGTTCTGACAGCACCAAAAATTGGAAAAACACAATTGTTTTTGCAAAAAATCAATTTTTAAACACAATTAAGTCACCAGAATGAAAGAGGGAGAACTGATATCAAGTTATACTTATTATAAAACCCAGGTTGTGTGTGTGTGTGTGTGTGTGTGTGTGTGTGTGTGTGTGTGTGTGTGTTCATTTATATATGGGATCGGATTTCTTACATTTTTCAACCGATTTCAACAAAACTTCACTTTTTTTTTGGCAGGTAGTGTTTCTTATTGTCTTGCACACTTTTTTCTTTATTGTTACATTCAGAATGCTTTAAAAATTCCATTTAATCGCTAGACTCATAACGATTGAAAACAATGTTTTTGTTTGAGTTTGGGTTTGACCAATTCGTAAAAAAGAAAAAAAAAAATAAATAAATAAAATAATTAAGACATGCGTGTCCGTCAACCTTAAACAATATTCTTTGTCAATTTTATTTTTCAGTCTTTACGATGGTCGATAGTTGATCTATCTCTTACTGTTACATCCCCGGGCAACGCCGGGCTCTACTGCTAGTATATATATATATATATATATATATATATATATATATATATATATAGCAACAGTTTGCTTCATGTTTAAACGCAATCTTCAGGCCATGTATATATTATACATTAAAACTATAATTTTATCATATATATATATGTGTGTTCGTGTGTGTGTGTTTATATTATATATATATATATATATATATATATATATATATATATATATATATATATATCCATATGTGCTTGCTCTCTGGTGATCCATGTTCAAATCCAAGTCAGCAGTGACACTTTATTCCTATATGACAAGATATACAGTTTGTGTGTGCGCGTATATATATATATATATATATATATATATATATATATATATATATATATATATATATATACTAGCAGTAGAGACCGGCGTTGCCCGGGATGTAACAGTAAGAGATAGATCAAGTATCGACCATCATAAAGACTGAAAAATTAAATTGACAAAGATTATTGTTTAAGGTTGACGGACACGCATGTCGTAATTAGTTTTTTTGTTTTGTTTTTTGGGGCTTTTTTACGAATTGGTCAAACCGAAACTCCAACAAAACCATTGTTTTCAATCGTTATGAGTCTACCGATTGAACAGAATTTTATTATAGACAATTGTCTTGTAAATGGAATTTTTAAAGCATTCTGAATGTAAAAATAAAGAAAAAAGTGTGCAAGACAATAAGAAACACTACCTGCCAAAAAAAGTGAGTTTTGTTGAAATCGGTTGAAAAATGTAGGAAATCCGATCCCATATATATACGAACACACTCAAACAACCTGGGTTTTATAAGTATAACTCGATATGAGTTGTCCCCCTTTCATTCTGGCGAAAGAATCGTGTTTTATCGTGTTTTAAAATTGATTTCGTGCAAAAACAATTGTGTTTTTCCAAATTTTGGCGCTGTCAGAACCACCGCAAGGTAATTTTACGCAGTCCTGTGAAGTTTTGTTGAAATCAGTTGATAAATGTAGGAAATCCGATCCAATATATAAACGTACAGAGACACACACACACACACACACACACGCGCGCGCAATCTGCGTTTTATAATAAGTAAGATGTGTGTGTGTGTGTGTGTGTGAGAGAGAGAGAGAGGGGGGGAGAGAAAAGGACTTGTGTTCGTTACTCTTGTCGCACATGGAACATAGACCGGGGAGAATGAAAGAGAAAGCTGAAGATAAAGAAAGAAGTAATGAAAGAAAGAAAATTCTTGAGTACAAGAAAAAGAGAGAAAAATATTTTAGAGTAGAACAAAAAAAAAAAAAAAAGAAGAAAGGAAAAAAGAGAGAGGGCAATGAAATGGCAAGAAAAATAGTATAAAAGAAACGAAACAAAGAAAGGCAAAGAAAGATAAAGAATAAATGCTAGCGTAGGAGAAGAAAGTATAAAAAGAGAAAGAAAAAGAAAGAAAAAAATAAAGCCAGATACCAACGAAAGAAAGAAAGAAGGAAAAAAAAGAAAGGCAAAAAGAAAGGCAAAAAGAAAGAAGAAAATGCTAGAATCGAACCAACAAAAGAAACGAAAGAATGAAACAGAGAAAGGGAGAGAAGAATATAAAATTCCAGAGTACCTCTTGTCCGCCCCCTCTCCTTAGAAAGAAAAAACAAAAGAGAGAGAATCAAATTCTAGAGTAGGGCAAAAAAGAGAAGTAAAGATAGGGTAGGTGAAGAAAGAAAGATAAAAAATAAATAAATAAATGAATAAATAAATAAATAAAGAAAGAAAGAAATAAAGAAATAAAGAAGGAAATAAAGAAAGAAATAAAGAAAGAAAGAAAGAAAGAAAGAAGGAAGGAAAGAAAGAAAGAAAGAAAGAAAGAAAGAAAGAAAGAAAGAAAGAAAGAAAGAAAGAAAATATTTTTTTCGCGACTCTTGGTCGTGATGCAAAAGAAAGAGAATTAAGGATATATAGAGTGAGTAGTAAGAAGCGGGGGCGGGTGTAAGCATAATACTTTATATTATGTAAACATAAAAAAAAGAATAAAGAGAAGTGAAACTATCACAAAACAGCTAACAGCAGTAAAAAGTGCTAAAGACAAGGTTTGTGTACTTCCCGGTCTGCCCAGGTCAACTGGGTAAGTGACCCCCCAGCGTGAGAAAAGACCGCCTTAGCAATTTCGCTTTTATTCAAAGATGTGGGAACTTTGCCGGCTTAGGGTGATACTGTTGGTCCAAATCGCAGAGAGAAGACGACGAGAAGAAAGACGAGGACTGAGTGAGACGGCAGGGAGAAGGGGAACAGAAGTTCTGGGTAGTTTAGGAGATTGAACCGGGTGCTGAATATTAGCGAAAGCGTGTACTATTACGCAAGCACAGTATGTGCGTGGGTACGGGATAGGGGAATTAACTGTCAAGAAAAGAACAAAAGTGCAAAGAAATTAATTTGGACCCGAACACACACACACACACACACACACAAACACACACACACATCTTTTTTCTTTCTATCTCTGTCTGTCTCTCCCTCTCTCTCTCTCTCTCTCTCTCTCTATATATATATATATATATATATATATATATATAAAAAGTTATATATATATATAAAATTTATTAAATATAAATATTATTATTATTATTATTATTATTATTATTATTATTATACAGTTGAACCTCGACCTACGAATTTCATCCGTTCCAGGATTGGATTCGTAACTGGAAATTTCGTATGTCGAAACAATTTTCCACATTTAAAATAATAGAAATTAAATTAATTCGTTCCAAGGCCCCAAAAATACTGATATAAATATCAATAAAAATCGTATTTTATGCAAAATTAAAGTACTTTTTAAAAAAAGATTATAGTACACAGATAATGTAAATAAATATATCACTGTGACTCCTTCCCCGTTTCTATCAATGAGATTTAAGCAATTTAGAATATTGAAGTGATCCTTCTAAAATTCTCTTATGGTCAAGTTTGTATTTTCAGTCACTTCAAAACACCTCTGAAGTAAAGCAGCTTTATCAGAGTACGCAGCCCCTCCATATCTCATTACACTGTGGATGCCGGTTTAAATTTTTCAAGTCATCTTCGGCTTGCTTTAAATGCATTTCCATCTTCAGAAGACGTGCCTGGTATTTCTTTGATAAGATCCACATACAGTGACCTTGGCTTTGCACGTGTAATATCGTCAGACACAGAATCACCCCGTAGCTGCCTCTCATTCATCCACGCCAACAACGGCTTCTCATCATCTTCTAGGACTTTTGGATAATGTTTGGTAATTAGGCTAACTTCCTTGGCGACATCAACCTTTTTTTTATTTCTATCTTGTTCTTTGGGATAGTGCAAATTGTTGATGCTAAACGTCCGTATAGATTGGCAAGGTCAGAAACAAGGTTACGTTCTTTGTACTTCTGAATGATCTCCTTCATTTGCACGGATATTTTTCCCTCTTCTTAATAGCAACCAACTTCTTGGGTGACATCGTGGGCTATAAAAATTATCAAAAAATTACCCACTAAAATTTAAAATTTATTATACATGTAAAGTAATATTTACAGTAACACATTAAACTGTACAGTACCGAAAAAAGTTTGTATCCGTTAACAATAAAACATAAAAAAAAAAAACATATTTCGATTCGCATTTAATTTTTTCATCTTTGATGCTACCTGGATTTTACTAAAAACAAAATAATTTCCATGCCTGAGGATGACTGTATGTACAGATGAAAGTACTTGCAGATTAAAAAAAAGACCTTATACAGCTTGTAGTTTATTAAAAACAAGGATCATAACATTCATCGAGTGGTTTGTAGGTTAATGCAACTTTAAAATTTTGTTTGCGAAGAGATTTCGCCATTTTATATCATTAACTTTACTAAGCTACTTTTTGTATGAATGATTCATTGTAATATAAATTGAACTACATCACATATTTTATATATATATATATATATATATATATATATATATATATATATATATATATACACACATGCATATATATATGTGTGTGAAATGTGTATAAATATATGTATATGTGTGTGTGTGTGTGCAATTTTTATATACATTATTTTTATATTGTATATTGTTATAGTGGAACACACCTATTCTATAGTTAATAGACTCTCCCACCTATAATAAGTAGGAGTAGTAAGAGTAACGAGGCAGTCGCTAAGTCGCTCAGTGACGACCGTTAGTCGGATATTAAAGTATCAGCCACCACAACTAGATTACTGCGTTATACCTATTATATCAAGTACCTAAAGTTTTGTACGTCGAACCTATTTTAGGACCGACTTAGTACCAATACAAGCCTCCACTGTGAAAACACTCCACAACAATATATGCACGGTACTTATTGGAAAGCGCTCAATATCAGTGATAGAGCTAACATATAAGTTTGTCTGACGATCGCAAATAGCGAGAAACCCAGGGTCACAAACTCACATCAATTCAACTATATATATATATATATATATACGAATTTATAAATAAACATATACGTATGTACAAACACATGCACTCACACAGCTCTCTAATTTATGAATTGGTCACGCTGGCTTACATGGTCGCGTTTTTATTCGAAATTATTTTACGAACTCAACAATAGTCAGCCAGGGGCAATAAAAAATACAAATGATGAATGAAGGTGAGGCAAGGATAGGATGTTGGGGAGTAATGATAGAAAGAAAGGAAGAAAATGAAGCTGAAAAGAGAGGGGAATGTTTTGACAATCGTGACGCAGGCCGTTTTTTCATTTTGGTGTAATTTAAACAGAGATGAAAAAATATGAAAGAAACAAAAAAAAAAAAAAAAAAAAAGACAATTTGATTATTGTCGTCTTCATTACGCTCTTTATGAATTTGATAAGAGGCTAAGTCAAAAATTATCCGCACTTTCGCTATAACATATCTTTAGGTCAATCACACTGCCTTCGGCTCATGCCTTCTTATTGTTGGTACAACTGTGGTCACATGATCGAAGTTTGAAGCTTCATCGCGCCAATTTTCCTGCTGCCGTTACAGTGTAAACATGGCCGCTTCGCTAGTGGTGTGGATCAGGGAGGAACAAAGTGCAGTAATCTGATTTCGCTGGTTGGAAGGTGTACCAGGGGCTGAAATTAATCGGAAGCTTTTAACACAATGCGGCAACATTGCATTACTGCGTAGAAGTGTGTATGAGTGAACGGAGAAGTTTAAAATGGCCGGACAGGTGTGACGCACGAAGAAGAAGCAGGACGCCTGTCAAACTACACCACTGACGAGAAGATTCTGCAAGCTCGAGAGATGCTAATGGAGAACCGGTAAGTTATCATCGATGAGGTAGCATGTTCAATACAGATTCGCATTATCGCTCTTTGTCATTCCTCGGTGTGCACTGCTAGCGGAGCGGCCATGTTTACATTGTAACAGTAGCAAGAAAACTAGCGCGATCAAGCTCAAAGTTTGATCACGTGACTACAATAGTGCCAGCTATAAACACGCACGAGTCGAAGGCAATGTGACAAGCTTAAAACATGTGATGGCAAAAGTGCAGATAATTTTTGACTTCCCCCGTATGAGCTGTATATGAGTACGTGGCCGAGTGGTTAGGATGTTCGCTTTCCGATCATGACACCCGGGTTCTAATATCGCCATAGTCGAAGTAGATTTCTTTATGTTATTGGCCTGTGGGAAATGATCCCATTATTATTTATATGCCTAACTGTATATAAAGTTTCATTGTTAATTTGTTATATAAAAAAAAACAGCGTTTTTATTATCCATATATATATTTCCGGATTTATATATATATATATATATATATATATATATATATATATATATATATATATATATATATATATATATATATATATATATATATATTAGCAGTAGAGCCCAGGGATGTAAAAGATAGATCAAGTATCGACCATGATAAAGACTGAAAAATAAAATTGACAAAGATTATTGTTTAAGGTTGACGGACACACATGTCTTGATTAGTTTTTTTTTTTTACGAATTGGTCAAATCCAAACTCAAACAAAAACATTGTTTTCAATCGTTATAAGTCTACGGATTGAATAGAATTTTATTATAAACAATTGTCTTGCAAATGGAATTTTTAAAGCATTCTGAATGTAAAAATAAAGAAAAAAGTGTGCAAGACAATAAGAAACACTGCCTGCAAAAAAAAAAAGTGAAGTTTTGTTGAAATCGGTTGAAAAATGTAGGAAATCCGATCCCATATATAAACGAACACACACACACACACACACACACACACACACACACACACACACACACACACACACACACACACACACACAACCAACTTGGGTTTTTATAATAAGTATAACTCGATATGTGTTGTCCCCCTTTCATTCTCGCGATGCCTCTTAATCGTGTTTTCAAATTGATTTCGTGCAAAAACAATTGTGTTTTTCCAATTTCTGGCGCTGTTAGAACCACTGCAAGGTAATTTTACGCAGTCCTGTGAAGTTTTGTTGAAATCGGTTGAAAAATGTAGGAAATCCGATCCAATATATAAACGTACACACACACACACAAACCTGAGTTTTATAATAAGTATGATATATATATATATATATATATATATATATATATATATATATATATAAATATTGTGGACATAGAAATCAACATTGCTTGTTGCCTGTCAGTTTCACGCTTCAAGTGTACATATCTGCTCTGAAAACTCAAAATTGCTATTCTTGATTTCTATGTCCACAATATTTATAAAATGTATCTCCTATATTGCGCATTCTGCCACACACAAATATAGCATGTTTTCGACAATATATATATGAGAAAAATATAGTTTTAAGGTATGTTATATTTATGGATTAAAGTGCTCAGTATCAGAGCGTGTGTAATATCAGTGGGCATTAAGATCAACACCCAGCGGTGACATTCCGTTTCACGCTTAAACGCAATTGTCATGGACTGAGAATTGCGTGTCAGCACAAAAGACTGGCGCCGCTGGGTGTTAAACTTAATGTCTTCTTATATCTATCTATCTATCTATCTATCTATATATATATATATATATATATATATATATATATATATATATATATATGAACATAGAAAAATCATAATTACATGAGGCGTTAAAATGACAATCGCCATGCAGTGTTTATTTCTATATCCATAGAGTTTATTTCAACAATTTATCTCTGATACTGAGCATTCTTCCTCATGCAAATTTATCAAATTTTAAAGATTGCTTTGGGTAATAGGAAATACAGTCAATATAAAGTTCTTTTACGTTTCAGATACAAAAACTGAACAGAAATTGGCTTCCGAGATCTGAATAGCAAAAGCAATATCTAAAACCGCATTATTACACCGCGTCTAATACGCTTATGATATGAATAATATCTCAAGATAAACATTAAAGGCTTTCGTGATAATTCTTCCTGCGTTAACGATAGGTTGCATTGAACAGTCCTATAATATCAAATGATATCCTGCGTTTTACAGACCAGAAAATATAGTAAGCAGAAAAACTTAGCATGGCACAAGATCACAAGTAATACTGATACTACTATAGCAATGACATACAAAACTACCTTATTTAATATTGTTTAACGGCGAGGCTATCAAAATCCATGATTTGTTCTCTGATTTTTCGACTGAATATACTAGCAATGGTTATCCCTAACGCTCTTGGGAAAGGTTTTGAATCTATTTTCCCTCCTTCCAGCTACGGCAACGTAAATTGTTCTCTCTAGCATTGAGTGTTAGCCTGTCTTGTAGAAGGATATCTCTGAATTCAAAAACGTGGAGATTGCAACAGGAAACCACTCCAATATCCCCCCCAATAAGCCATAGCAATTCACAGATAATAGAGAAACAGAACCTGTGGAGAGCCATGATTGCTTACGTTCTGAAAGAAGGTGGTATTAAAAAAAAAAGGAATCTATGGATAGAAATGATCACTTATGTCAAGGGACACGACATTAAGAAAAGGAACGATTGCTTATTTCCTGAAGGGACGTCATTAAAAAAAAAGCAGTCTATGGAGAGAGATGGTCGCTTATTCCCTGAAGAGACATACTATTAAAAAAAGGATCCGTAGAGAGCAATGATCACCTATTTCCCTGAAGGGATATGGTATAAAAAAAAGAATCCGCGTAGAGACTTGGTCTCTTATTTCTTGAAGGGACATTTTTTTAAAGTATTTCACACCAAGCAAGGCGGCAGTGCCACTAGCACTCAAAGGGTTACAGAGAGTGAGAGTAAGAGTAAAGAGGGGTGTTTGAGGAAAGGATATTGAGAAGGACGGGGATCGGGATCAAAGCATCAGAAGATGTCGATTGAATCCGTAGAGAGACATAATCAACTATTTCTGAAGGGAGGTGGCATTAAAATATCGATAGTAGGCATGTTTTTTTACGCTATCGTAGGCAAATGTTAGTACGCGAAAGAGGCTTCAAACATCTATAGCCGAATCGGCGATTTGCCTAAAAATTCCAACAGAAAACCCACGACCCAGGGAACTTACGGTAAAAGCAAATACGTAATTTAAAGAGTGGGAACAGTGACGAAAAAGCTGCATTCCACCTAAAAGGCACGAAGGCATGAAAGTTTTCATCCATGAAATTCTTCTCATTACACGAGAGGTATTTTGAAAGTTTTGAGCTTGATTATGATCTTTTCTGCTGTGATTCCAGACAATGATTGTCTTATAGTGCTTATATTGGATTGTCGGATAAATTCGTTCGTTTTTGTTTTTTCCATTTATTTTAATTCTGTTGTTTATGACCAATTTAAAAAAAAATAAAATCATACTTATTATAAAACCCAGGTTGTGTGTGTGTCTGTACGTTTATATATTGGATTGGATTTCCTACATTTTTCAACCGATTTCAACAAAACTTCACTTTTTTTTTTGGCAGGTAGTGTTTCTTATTGTCTTGCACACTTTTTTCTTTATTTTTACATTCAGAATGCTTTAAAAATTCCATTTACAAGACAATTGTTTATAATAAAATTCTATTCAATCGTTAGACTCATAACGATTGAAAACAATGTTTTTGTTTGAGTTTTGGGTTTTACCAATTCGTGAAAAAAAAAAGAAAAAAAAAGACATGCGTGTCCGTCAACCTTAAACAATAATCTTTGTCAATTTTATTTTTCAGTCTTTATGATGGTCGATACTTGATCTATCTCTTACTGTTACATCCCCGGGCAACACCGGGCTCTACTGCTCGTCCTCAATAAAATTTATTTCAGTCTTTCATTGTTCACAACTCTTTGCCAACGTTCCACTAGCTTGTCGATGCCTTGACGGTAGAAATCAACGCTTGAAGAATTCATCGTGTCATGTTTTGAACTCCACGTCGTTGTTGAAAGAAATGCCTCGCAAACCGAAAAACAACCGACAAAGAATTAAAATTCAATCAAATGTCAAAAACGTAAGCAAAATTGTAGACAAATAGAGATACAATATATATATATATATATATATATATATATATATATATATATATAATATATTTATTTAAAAAAATATGATTCCAAATCGCTACATAAGAGGTCTCATGTTTCAAAACAAGAGCCGAAAACTTCAATATAATCCTTTAAATTAAATTGAGTTGAAATTAAAAAGGGCTCCGTTCCATCTTCAAGCGAAATTTTTGTTGGAATAACGTATATCTGAAATTTACCCGTTTTAAAAATTGAAATCAAAATCACCATGGTAACAGCCAGGGCGAATTGTCCAAAATGGGTAGGCGAGTGTAGGGTGTCAATGACAAGTAGCGGTACAGAGATACTTTCAAGGTGTCAAGTCGGGGGAAGGTGAGGGTGCCAAAAATGAAACGAAGATGCATTAAGCTTTCGTCAAGTTGGCTTGTCCATGGAGATTTATTTATTTATTTCATTTTATTTTATTATGAAAGGGAATTGTGCATATAAAAAGAAAAACATTCGTAACGTTTGTTTTTTGACGACTTCATAAAGGGTTATCTTTTATGTAAGGTATTTAAACTACCAACTTGGGCCATGGACCATGAAGGGTGCCATGTTGTATGCAAGCCTGTAGTTAATAATTTCTACTATGAATCTGATGATTGGGCTATTTGTCAAACAAGTTATATAAATTTTTTTTATTTCAAACCAAAAATCTGACGATGCCCACAAAAAACCGTTAACTCGTGTCTATTATTTAATAGATTACCATTATTTAGAAGTTTAATAATGTGCAATCCCCCACGGAGACACAAAGGGCATGGGTCATCCCAAGCCCCACATATTCTAGCCTTGTCAACAATTTTCCATTTAACCTCTGGTGTCCTATTTGTTTCCTTCAAGTGCCAAAAATATTTTGATAGTGAAGTCTGGTTTCTTTTGTCCACATTACTAAAGGAGCACTTATGCTGCCTCCATCTATCTTTAAAATTATTCTTCGTGGACCCAATGTATATCATATTAGTGCTAGGGCTCTCTGTGGATGAAATAGTGCATTGGTATACCACAGAATTAATACAACATTTATTTTCTAATGGGCAGTCTTCTGGGTTTCTACAGTTACATAATTTTTCCCTATTATCATCTGATTTTAGTGTAGAGTTTTTATTAATACTGTTTTGAATAATTTTAAAGATAGATGGAGGCAGCATAAGTGCTCCTTTAGAAACATGAGACCTCTTATGTAGCGATTTGGAATCATATTTTTAAATAAATAATTATATTTATGCTCTACTTTTGTATCGAGCACTATTTTTTAAAAATAATAACTAAAATACTAAGGAACTTTGGACTATTTACCTAACCAGTTCCTTCCTATTTTTTATATATTTTCACACACACACACACACACACACACACACACACACACACACATATATATATATATATATATATATATATATATAAACTACAGGAAAATATTTCACTACAGTAGAACCTGGTTCACGAATTTAATTCGTTCCTGAAGGCTGTTCGTGACCCGAAATGTTCGGAAACCAAAACTATTTTCCCCATAGGAATCAATGTAAAATGGGCTAAACCGTTCCTGGACCCCGGATGATTGTTTATTTAAACTTATTTACAACAGTACTTTGTGCACAAGTTCATACACAAAACTGGTGAAATTCATTAGATCTAACACTACAAAAAGCTAAACACAATCATTTGAGAGGCCCTTTACTGCCTTCCATCAGCATGGTATGGCTGATGCTGACCCCCAGGAGAGTAATTCGTTACGCCTTCTCAGGCTAACGTTCCCGGCTGACATGAGGTGGAAAGACAACATTGAATCCATTGCTAAGTCAGCTACTAAGAATGTTCATTGTGTCCTGCTCTCCGGAGTCTGTCTTACATATCTATATGTTCTACCATTCGTGCACACTTTGAATATTGCTGCCACATCTTGTCTGATGCTTCTACTATATGTTTTGAGATTCTTGATAAAATCCAAGAAGAATCAGCAATATTATTGATCCTGACCTGGCCTCTCGGCTTCACTCACTTTCCCACCGCCGTAAAGTTGCTTTCCTGTGCCTTTTCTATAAATATTTTCATGATAATTGCTCTTCGCTGTGGTACCTAGACTGTATGAATTTAAGAGTAATAAAGATTGGTAATGAGGTCTCATCAATTTACAGTTAAATTTGTTAGATGTAACCGTAAATTCTATTTCTTTTCTTGTATTTCTTGCTTGTGGAACTCTCTTCCGGTGCCATACTTCCCAGTAAACTTTAATCTTCAAAAATTTAAATGCAAAGTCAATTGTTATCTACTGCCTTCTTGATTTCTCTTCTATTGCTCTCGCTACTTTGTAATGTTCCTGTTTTCTAATTCGTTCACACCCAATAACCACTTGTGTTTTACTGGCTTTACCGCCTTGCTTGGGGCAAATTCGATTAAAAAAATAGTCACCCCTCTTTCAACATCGGTTTCCTTGAGTGGTTTTTGATTCAGGTTATCTCCCTTACTCACCGCGCTCTCCAACATTTTTTCTTTTTTATGATTTTTTTTTAATCGCATTTTCCTTGAAATAGATATATATAGCTATCTCATTTTTCTGAAAAGCCGTTCCGCTATGATATCGCGTGTTAAGAAAACAAATTGCAGGTCTCTTTGTCACTTCTTAGAAACAAAAATGATCGACAGAAAAAAACAAAAAAAACAAAACAAAACAAAACAAAAAACGAATTGCATACAGTCTTCTTCTACGGAGTATTTTTTTTTTATTTTGATGAATTATTTTTTTGTTTTTTTATGAATACTTTTTAATTCACAAAAAAAAAAAAAAAAAATTACCAGTGGCAATAAACAAGTAACATTTGTCACCCCAAAAAGAAAGTAATTGTTTAACTACAACTCCCCCCGCAAAAAAAAAAAACAACAACAAAAAAGGATGTGTCAATCGTTATCTACTGCCTTCCTGATTACTCTTCTATTGCTCTCGCTACTTTGTAATGTTCCTGTTTTATAATTCGTTCACACCCAGTAACTTGTGTTTGACTGGCTTTACCGCTTTGCTTGGGGTAAATTCGATTAAAAAAATACTGTCGCCCCACTTTCAACATCGGTTTCCTAGTCTCTTTATTTTTGAGAATAGTCCAGGTCGTTGATTTTGCCATATCAAAATGAGTAGCAAGATCAGAGACACGAGTACCATTTTCATGCTTGGCTATGATTTCTTTCTTCACCTCTATCGTAATTCGTGTTATTTTTCTTTTCCCTTTGCTGCTATCATCATCATCCTTTTTTGGACACCATGGGGTCTTATTTGCTAATTTATAAAAAAAAAAAAAGAAAAAGAAAAAGAAAAAAAAAGAAAAAGAAAAAGAAAAAGAAAAGAAAACGCAGAAATAAATAACATTAAAGAGCAGGGATATGCATGAAGTAAAAAAAGCTACACCACAACTGACGCTCTCTAGCCAATACCCAGGTTTTCTCGCTCCGCATTGTCGTCGCCTTGCGTGTTCGTCGCTCGAGACACCGTTTGTCACCCGAGACGCTTGTTGTCCCCAAAATTTCTTCCTGAACCGATTTGTTCGTGATGACAGGCGTTCCTGACCCGAGGTTACTTTGTATTTAAATAACATTGGAAAAAACGAAAGAATTTATGAGACACCCCAACATATAGCTTTCACAAAATTTGATTTTCACTACCGTCAGTATTTTCTTTTATTTTAAATTTCAGAATTAATAAGAGATTGAAGCGACCTAAAAAGGTCGACTACAACGAGAACTAGACATTAAAACAGCGTCCTGTTAATGGAATTTTAATTTGTGTCACAACCTATTGATGCAAGAAGGTATTCTTAAAGATGAAGCATACTAAATAGGAAAAGTTTGTATTAATTAACTGAAATAGTAGATGACCACATAGTTCGTCTGGTTTATTCAATGACAAAAATTAGACATTTTCTCATATCCAACTTTATTGAATAGCATATTTACTATTTGTAATGTCTTCTGTCAACTTCATAATACTATCCTCACAGAACTTTTCAACTTTCAAAGCAAACAACTGTTTCTCGTCATTAAAGGAACATATAGTCTAATGTTTTCAGCATGTATTCCAAGCCCCGAATTCAATAATAATTATCATTTTAAAAAGTTAAGCAGTAAAACTTTGAAAGACAGTCTGACATCTTACTGTTTGATAATTTCTGTCGCATTTTTCTCCTTGTCTAAGAAAGATTATTTGTAATTTTGAAAAGTCGATCAGTAAAATTAATCGACACAAAATGTTCGTTAATTTTAATAATATTTGCATTAAAGAAAATTTGCTATCTAAATACACAGAATATATATATATATATATATATATATATATATGGGGGTGCTGAAAATTATCGGATCGACCACTCTCCAAAATCTGAAAATCTGAATAGAATAAATATCAGAATTTTGACGGGAAGAGCTTTTTGCTCTGGTACCTTATGATCAGACTGATATAGATAGCTGGATATATAGATAGATAGGAACGAACAAAATGAGATAGATAGATAGATAGATAGATAGATAGATAGATAGATAGATAGATAGATAGGAATAGCACGTGATAGATAGATAGATAGATAGATAGATAGATAGATAGATAGATAGATAGATAGGAATAGCACGTGATAGATAGATAGATAGATAGATAGATAGATAGATAGATAGATAGAAAAAGAATAGCATAGCAAAACAGGATCAGAGTTTAGTATCTGTTTCATTTCCTCTGTCGTGTCTACGGCGCAGGAAATTAGTGGCGAGATTTTGCTTTAGGGTTGTTCATAGCAAAGCAATAAGGGAAGCCTAATCCCCGGAGATTCCAGTGCTCCAGCAACACCTCCACCATTGCTCCAGTGGATAGTAGAGACTGGTAATTTCTGCTCTTGGTCCATATTTACTGTGTGCGTACGAAAAGTATTTCACACACACATACGGACGCACACGTACCTATTGCGTTTTATATTTAGAGATTCTTGATAAAATACTATGAAGAATCTGCACTGTTATTGGTATCTCGGGTTTAGCCACTTTCCCACCACCATAATGTTGCTTCCCTGTGGCTTTTCTAAAAATATTTAATGGTTATTGTTCTGAGGAGCTTTTCAATTTGTTACCTAGGTTTTATGAATTTAAGCACAGTACTAGATTGGTAGCAAGGTTTCATTATTTTGTAGTTGAGCTGGTTAAATGTAGTTCTATGCTAGCAGTTTCTTCTCTCGCAACTCTTGCTTGTGGAACACACTTATGGCTTTCCAATCAATTTTGCTCTTTAAAAATTTAAATGCAATGCCAATCGTTATCTTCTGTCTTCTTAATTCTTGTTCTTTTGTTTTTCTTTCTTTTTAATAATGTTTTCTTTTTACCCAAATGATTCACAGTCCCCTTATCTCTTAATGTTTTTATTGCCTTACTTCAGGTGAAAGGATTTAAAAAAAAATGTATTTATACGTGATGGTCTCAAAATTAGAATTCGGCATTTACTTATTAGTCGGAAATAATGAGGAATAGACTAACGTGAGTGGAGCGGCGATGTCGGCCGTGGAGTCCTAAGGCGCGAACGCTGCATTCTCCTCTGCTTTAGTATCCTTCTACTTGGATTGGCGGAAGAGGTGATGGCAGAGGCATGTTATAAAAATCCCTGCACCCCATACTCGAGAAGCTTTTTGACCGACAGCGAAACAAGTTGTTATTATTGCTCCAGTCTGTTATTACTGTGATTACCAGACCCTAGTGGAGAGAGACCCAAAGGAAGGACGGTTTCTTTTGCAACTATCTCCACGCTGTTCTTTTCAATCAAATTCATTGGCTAGTTTATTGCAACAAGCTAAATCATACACCCATTTCAGCTTCGTTTAGTTAGTGGCTATCTTGAACTCGGATATCCCGTTTGAACCAAGAATAATAAGAACGCTGTTATGAATAATCAAGAATGGTCCCCCCTTGATTTGATAATCTCCTCTTTGAGGGAGCTATTTCTGTTTACTGGGACTATAAAAAGACACTATTTGGGAACCTTTTATTCTCAGTTACATAAAGTTTTCTTCAAGCCTACACCTGCGTACTCTTGTCATTACAAACGTGTTTTTTTTCTCTTTTATATGCCATGTCCTTTTAGGACGTGGGTGATCATGATTCTCTAAAAATTCTTGTGTATTGTTCCTGTGCCATCCCTCTTTCTCTCTGTTCTAATGTCCATTCCTTTGCGTTCTGCAGATACTACTGGACAATAAGTGTTGGTTCATGAATTTGGTGACATAGTGATTACGAGTTCAATCCCTGGGCCCGATAGTGTAGGCATAGACTCGATGGAAATAGGGTAAGCAATAATTGAACAGTACTAAATAAGAACTCGACAAGACACGGTCAAAAGAACGAGAACAATCTGCGGGCTCAGTTCGAAATTCTCTGAAGGTTATTCGAACCGGCAAGCACTTGATGAAGTCCTCAGTGCAGGGCCGAAACGTTGTGACAATAACAAAGATGAGGACAAGAGTCTGAATAATGTAAATAATGATAATTCTTCAGCCCAGAAATTCAGACAAAAACTGAATGGTCTCATTTTCAGGAAGCCTCTCTAATTTCAATACCCGTCACCTGGTTTATCTATGTTTCCTTCCTTGTCTACTTAGTAGTAAGCAACGGTCGATGGTTCGTCTGCACCAAGACCACCGCGGAAAGCAGAAAGTTTACATACTGCTCCAGGTTATGATAAATGTCTCAACTAGATGCATAGAGACCGATGTCAACATTTTGAAAGTTCCTAGGAGTTGCTGAAGTGCCATCGTTAGTTGATTCAGGTTATCTCCCTTACTCACCGCGCTCTCCAACATTTTTTCTTTTTTATGTTTTTTTTTTTAATCGTATTTTCCTTGAAATAGACATATATAGATATATATTTTTCTCAAAAGCCGTTCTGCTATGATATCGCGTATTAAGAAAACAAATTGCAGGCCTCTTTGTCACTTCTTAGAAACAAAAATGATCGACAGAAAAAACAAAAAAACAAAGAAACAAAACAAAACAAAAAACGAATTGCATACAGTCTTCTTCTACGGAGTATTTTTTTTCTTTTTTATTTTGATGAATTATTTTTTTGTTTTTTTATGAATACTTTTTAATTCGCAAAAAAAAAAAAAAAAATTACCAGTGGCAATAAGCAAGTAACATTTGTCACCCCCAAAAGAAAGTAATTGTTTAACTACACTGATAGATTATAGCATTGGTAGTTACTTAGTTATAGTCGGAATTAATCACAAACTTTTAAAGTTTTAATAATTACTATAAAATTCAAAATTAAAAAGTATTTGCATTTTTACAACAAACTTTATGGTGGCAGGTGTAATATTTGTAATGTTTAAGTCCTAAATAATTTCCATGTTGTTTATTAGTTCACCAATTGTATTGTACTTCTTCTAGTTTAAAACAACCCATAAAAATAAAATGTATAAAAACTAGAAAGAAAAAATAACTGATGATGCTTCTTCTAAGAAATCTTATGAGTTGTAGAACTCATAAGATTTCTACAGCTTGTGATAAAGAAGCAACCAAAAAAAAAAAAAAAAAAAAAAACGAAAGAAAAATGCTTCACCTATGAATTTGGGACCATTTAAGACTATTACGTCTGCTACAGTCTTGTTCCCGGTGAAAAGATGCAATAAAAAATAAGATAAAAATGAAGACTAGCCAAAAATCGTTGATAATGCTACATCTAATAACGACTAGAATTCGAACTCGGCTATACAGATTCCTCAAACCGAGCCGCTATCTATTACTCCACCGAGTATACTATATCAATGTACCACCGTATAAAAATATTAATGTACTATAAATCAAGAAAATTTGAATAAACATGTGATATTATCTATTTTGCTTTTTAAAAATAAATATTGCCGAGGGAGTCAAAAGTGTATACAGTAATAGCGGTGTCAAGGAAATAATCGCCCTTTTGAGACACCGTTTGTTTTTATTTGTACGAAGGTTAAACATTGCTAAAAATGATTTTTTTTTTACAGTTTTAAAAAGGAAAAGTTAAGCTAAAAGTAAAATCAGTCCCTATTACTGTTGTGGGTAAATTTCGTTTTAAATCTAAATTGTGTTCTTAGACACGGAGAACATTTCCAATTGCTCAGTCATAGGCATTAGTATATCTGCGATGCATGAGTACCTTCATATGACGGAAAACAAAGAACCACAATAGTTAAAAGAAACGGAAGTCAAATATGCATTTTGCTCAAAGGGATTTTATCTAGCGCTATATCATACAATGAATTATATGCATATATGTATATACCTGTCTTTATTTGTTTCATGCAGAAAAAAAACTATAACATATATGGATAAAGTAAGCAGTGTAAACGGGTGAATATCAAGAAGTTCCTACGTGCAATATTACTCGAAGTGTGGTGTCTTTCTATGTTCCTTGCCGGGACCATGTGGTTTCCATTCGTTTCCCTCGCCGCCACGGGTGATTACATCTGGCATCTTCGCGGTCTGCTCAGTAACTGGGGTCCGTTAACCCGAGTTACTGGCTGTCATGTGCACCATCGTGAATTCGTCCTATAAAAAGGGAGATAATTACCCTCTGCTTCCATACATTGTTAAATCCGTAACACTAAAATAGACATGGGCACCGAGGAATAAGTTAACAGTTACTAAGCTAGTCACATTGAAATGTGAGTTCGATTCTCACTGGGTGACCCATACTTGTCGCCTTATGTCAAACGAAGCTGAGCTTCGCAATTGGGAACATTAAAACTCAATAAATGTCTGCAATATAAAAATGAATGTTAAAAAGGTTTCATAAAAGCATTTTTGACATCACGGAGAAAAACTAATAAATATTTTTATATATATATATATAGGGGGTGATGGGTAAATTGTCGTTATTTTATATTTTTAATTTCACGCATGCGCGTTGTTTGTTTTTGATGTTGTCGACTGCACAGTATAGTAGGGTCAGTTGGGCACCGTCCGTGAGAAAAAGAGCACCATGACGCAATTCACTCTACCAGAAATTTGGAAACGGCATGCTGTACTGCTTACGAACATTTAAGAGTATTTGGATGTCAATCTGAGGACAATGTAGAGGATTCGGAAAGAGTTGGGTGAGACTAATGGTGATCACGAAGGTACAGCAGCTCGAATAATTCACTAACACAAAAATTTTGAATATCCTGAAAAAGAAAGAACCTATTGGTGTCCTGAGCAATAAACATAGAACAGGTCGGCCAAGAAAAACAACAGCAGTTGATGATGACAGAAACATGTTTGGAGTTGTGAAGAAAACCCTCAAAACAACTGTCAGTGCCATCACCAACAACCTTCAAACTGCAGGGGTGAAGGTTTCACGATCCACTGTTTGAAGAAGACTTTGAGAGCAGAGATATAGAGGCCATACCACAAGATGCAAACCACTCATCAGCAATAAGAATGGGAAGGTCAGATTGGCATTTGCAAGGAAGTACAGAGATGAACGACAAAAATTCTGGAAGAAAGTTTTATGGACTGATGAGACCAAGATTAATCTCTACCAAAGTGATGGAAAAACCAAAGTGTGGAGAAAGAAAGGATCTGCTTATTATCCAAATCGTACAAGCTCATCTGTGAAACATGATGTTTTTTTTGTTTTTTTATCAACCCCAGTGAGTCATTTAATGCCAACAACTATTTTTTCCTGGTTTTGTCAA